GCAACGTTGATAACAAATTCGCACCCTTTAAGACTCGCATGCAGGAGCTGTCCAGTTTGCAGGGTTGTCTACTGTGGGGCACTCGAGTGGTCATTCCGACCTCGCTGCGTACCCGAGTCCTGGAGGCGTTGCACGAGGGACACCCCGGCATTGTGAGAATGAAGGCATTAGCACGCAGCTACGTGTGGTGGCCGGGTCTAGACGAGGACATTGTCAATTGGGTAAGTTCCTGCAGCATTTGCCAGGAATCCCGTCCTGCTCCCCCCATCGCCACCCCTACCAGATGGGAGAGCGCCAACGCCCCTTGGTCTAGAATCCATATCGATCTGGCAGGCCCCGTGCATGGAAAGATGTTCCTAGTGGTCGTGGACACTTATTCCAAATGGATAGACGTGGCACAGCTATCCACGACCACCACACTAGCAATCACCAACGTGTTAACGCGCCTGTTCGTTACACATGGACTACCCGACTCCATTGTCTCCGATAATGGCCCACAGTTCGCATCAGTAGAATTCAGCCGTTTTGCTGCCAACCTGGGCATTCGCCACATTTTCACAGCCCCATTTCACCCTGCCAGTAATGGGTTGGCTGAAAGGGCCGTCAGGACCACCAAAGAGGCCCTCGCTAGGTTTGGCAGGGATGACTGGCACCACAAACTCGCACGGTTCCTGATGAGCCAGCACTCAACCCCCTGTGCAGTCACCAATAAGTCCCCAGCGGAACTTCTGATGGGCCGGCGCCTGAGGACTGTATTGGACAGATTGCACCCACAATACTGCCCTGACTCTCCCCTCGCTTCTACTTTGGGGGTTAGACATTTTTTGTTACAGGAGCCGATATTCGCAAGAAATTTCGCTGGGGACCCACTCTGGATTCCAGGCGAGGTCATCGCCATCACCGGGCCGAGATCGTATAGAGTCAGGCTGGAGGATGGTCGCGTCTGGAGGAGACACATAGACCAGCTTAGAAGGCGCCTCAGCACCCTTGCCAACAAGAATCCAGAGTCTCCAGTCGAAGGGGAACCGCCTCATCCGCCGCCCAGCCACATCGTACCCAGCAACCAGTCTGCACCAGCGGTCGTTCCGGTCAGCCCAAACTCGGACAACAGCGCCCAGAGAGTTGACCAGCCTGATCCAACCCACGAGAGCTCGACCCCAGTAACCAACCCGGTGTTTCCCGAGGATGCCCAGTCCAGAGAGAGTGTTGGCGACACTATGCCAGCTCGACCATCACAGACTGGTACTGAACAGACAGACAATGTTCCCGAGTTGCGCCGTTCCGGGCGCCAACACAACCCCCCCGTCTACCTCAAGGACTATGCATGTTCGCATCTGGGGGGAAGGGGTGTTATGTCCTGAGGACTCAAGGAGTTCTCACTCAGGTCCACTCTCTTTACGTGGGCGTTATTCCCCCATTCCCATTGGTTGGCTCTCCCCAGCAGCCAGCTATAAAAGCAGGCTGCGGGGTCCAACCGGTTGCTGATTGCTGCGAGCCAGTTCCAGGCTTGGCAAGCACGGTCAGCCCTTTATTGTAAAATAAAGTATTGTTGCACTCATGCTCTGGTTCAGCCTCTCATTGCTCAAACAAAACAGTACAAAAGTAATTGACACTACTACCAGAAATGAATGTTCACTGAAGGAAGAGGAAATAGTTGTGTATAACAGAAGACTTTTGCTCACTTAGTTACATGGAACTGAAAATTGGGGAATATATATAAAAAAGGTTAGCAGGGACAAATAAGAAAAGAATGAATTATGAGTGAAGTATGAATGCAAACTGAACTAAAAAATCCTATATAGCTTACAAAGAGAATGAAAGAGACCTGATTTACAAAACAAATACAGTATATATTAAGAGTAGATGGGTTGAGAGAAGATTCTGAATGGCTGGAATTTATTTTCCAAGAGGTAAGAGAATTTTAAAACCAAAAGGCAATGGATGAATCTATATCCTAAGATGGAAACAAGGATTGCTTGTGAAGATAGAAAGGCAGGCAGGGATATTGTGAATTAGATTAAGTTTAAGTTTAAATTGGATTTAATATCCTTTAAATTGGATGTAATATCCTTTCTCTTATCTTCTGCTGTTGATGTCTTCACTTTTTCTATGCTTTGCATGATATTGCTTACTCTTAAAAGAAATGGCAGGATGATCTGACAAATTTTCATCAACTATAGGACTGCATAATTACACTTCCCAGCAAGATTGATAGTTTGTAAATGGGTGTACTTTATAAGTACTGACTAAATGCCTCCAAATTGCTTTGGTGCAGGTCCAGGTAATATTGCTTAATCATGCTAACTCTTGAAATGTTGAATATTACAATTGTTGGTTGTTGTTTGGCTCTGAATGAAACAGGTGTCCTTCACAGATTGTGTATCAGTGGTGGTGCTAAGAAAAAATTCCAAGCACAACATCCTCATTATGAGTATTTACAAGGTTTAGGACCCTGGAACATCCTGTAGAGCAGAGCTAAACAGAGCTAATAGTTGGGATGGGGGGCAGTAGCATTAGTAGAATAAACAGAGCCAAACATTTTTGGGTGTGTTTTTTGAGATTTCTCAGAAGCACCTTCCATTTTATACTTAAAACAATGTAGCCTCCCTATTTCCTCCCTTCCCATTTTAAAAGGGAAGCTGCCTTAACACAGCATTTGTCTTTTAAAAGCCCCACAATCCAAAAGAGCAAATATTTGACTTTGCCTGTTCTGTGATCTCCTGGCACTCTTGGTCACTTCTTCAGTGGCAGTGATGAGAAAAACATTAAAAAGCTGCTGCCAGTTGGACAAATATGGATCCACATTCATTGTAAAGAAGCATAAAAAGTGCAATCATTTGTGTGCTGCTGCACTAATGGCCAGGCAGACAGTGGCTTCTGAGAGTTATTATTCAACAAAATCCAGAGACCCACAAATTGTCTTCTCCTCTAAAATACATGTGTTGCATTTGTGCTGTTGTGCAAACACGTGGGTAGAAGCTATCCAAAATCAAGGTCTAGAAAAATATTAGTTTTGCAAACAAACCTTGCATTTACTTTGTCAGTAAATGTTTTAGGATACAATGCAACCAAAGGACATCAGATGAATGAAATTCTACCATGTAGATTAATGTTCTATTGTTTACTTCTCTGGATTGGGCTCTAGATTGGTTGGTATCTTTTAGATAATGGTAAATTGTCAGGGTATGGCTAACTTTGGATGCTCTAATGCCCATACATTTGAAAGGCACTAAATTAAAAATAATTCAAGATGACACAGAGCAGCAAATACCTCAGATTTTATGTAGCACTTCCTAAAATTTATTTCAATCAGCTGTTTTGATGATCAGATATTTTCTAATTACTGTCTTTTAGGGGGAAATGTATATATAGCATCTATGAGTACCCTGCTCCTTTTCAGCCCCCATAAAAGCTTGAGCTATCTTTTTCGTTCATTCGTTGTCATATCTTTGCAACCCAACTCATGTAATTATTCAGATACTGTATTGTTACTTAAAAAAACTGCACACACTGACTTTCATTTCACGCAATGGTGAGCTGCTTATGATATCCAGATTTCATCACACATTGGTAGACAGGCAGTGTTTTTCCAGGATTACTAAAGGATGCCTGGATGCTAAAACATGTAGATGCTTGCCACAACCTAGGGACTGACCATTTGTTTTTGTTTTCAGATAGCTGCAATACTTACAAGTGATTGTAGCTATGGTTCAAGGCCAAAATCATAAAAGGTCTATATTCCAATCAGCCACCTAACTTATATACAGAGCATCTACTGACAATAACACATCTAATTCTGTGTTTGAGTGTGATCTTATTTTTGGAGTTTCTTTTTTCAGGTTTTGATTTTAGTTCGTCACAACTAGGCAGGTGCATATTCCATGTAAGTTTATAAGCTAGGAACATTATAGGTTTCAGGAAGTGCTTATCCTGAGAACTTGTCAGGTGGGCAATCTGTTTTAGAGGTCCTAACTGCTCTTTTTGCTGAACACACGATTTTGTGTTGATTTTTGAGAACATACTGATTACTGAGCAAACTCTGTATACTAACACTGTCAACAATTTGTGTGTATGCATAAACAGAAATGATGTAATATTTAATTTAGCTTATAATATTTAGAACTTTAATGAGAATCCATGTGTCATGTTGTAATGACTTTAAAAAATATTTATGGTGATCAAAAGTTATTTTAAATATGCAATCTGTAACACCAGATATCTAAATGAATGGTGAGTTCAATAGTCTGTGACTTGAAGTTGTCTTCCTTGAGTTTTTATTTATTTATTTGCATTATATAGCAGAACAGAAAAAATACAATGCAAACAATGGTTTGTTCAAATAGAGTATATTTGATACAGAAAAAGAATGATATGCAATCTCTAAGGCAATAATAGCATTCTTTCTTTCCTGTAAAAGAATATTGTTGGGTACCATCAATACGAATCAACAACCAAATATCCCTAATGAATTTTGAATAAAAGGGGGAAAAATAAAACGGTACCTATGAATTCTTGCTAAATTGGCACTACTTTTGAAGTCTGATCCTCAGCTAAGGCTGTTCCAGGACCCTTTTGTGATGCCCATTGGAAATGCATAAAGACCCACTTGTAAACATTTTCTTTTTATACAACAAAACTGAAGTATGCCACATGGAGTGAGCAATGCTCAATGGCTGTTTCCACAATGACACATTTCCAGGACATTGATACATTTCTGTGCAGACCACAAAGATGAATAATCATGGCTCAGCTTCCCAGTGTATGTACCTGTGGCAAAAAAGGGATATAGACATGATGATCACATTTGATCATTCGTGTTTGGTTTGGATGTGATTTGCAATGACTGATATTTGTCTGCATAACTGGAGAGGATCTAAAATATGATTCAACTGTTTATGTGCATTTATAGAATACCTAGGAAAGGATCCAATGTGTAAACAACTTCAGATGTCATTTCAAGTTATGGAAATAATTTGTAGAGAACATATATGATCAATAAGCCTGTTTCAACTCCAATATCCATGATGTACTAACCTTGTCAATGTTACCTATATAGCTTTCTCTTTGCCTGCCTTCTATCTTCTCTCTCCTTCCCCCCCTCTCTCTCAATCTCTCTTTCTGTCTCTTCTTGCTATCACTTACTTCTCCCTCTTCTATCGCATGCTTCTTCTCTTCTTCATTTTCTGCTTTCCTCTCATATTTTTTCTCTATTTTCCTCAAACCTTTCAAGCAGATTTTGTCGTGAATCATTTTAAACGGCAAACATTTCCACACCTGAATGCCATCAAAGGTGGCAATCTTTCCTTTTTGGACCATTGAAGTGGACACTCCTCTCCTCTTCAGTGACTGTGATGCACATATGCCAAAAATGGAGCACAAATTGGTCAATTCTCTAGCACTTTGGAGTCAACATTATCAATGTCTGGGCATTGTTTTTCTCAATTAATGCTCTTCAGATGTTGCTGGACTATTCTCCCATTATACACATTCATTATAGTTGGGCTATAGAGTTATAGGCATTTTATTCCAATGTACCTACAGCAGTCAGGTTAGGGAAGCTGCTTTATAATTTTGGAAAATACTGTGTCATATGTTCCCTTTGAGATTATGCTTTTAATTCAGTCTTTTTGTGTGTGGTTATCTTTCCATCTCAGATGTAAACCTCATCTAGCAGCAATAGTTACACAACATAAATATTAATTGCTAACTTGGTAAACCTGATTATTCACCTACAGGTTTCAGGGAGGGAACATTAAGCCTTCAGTATTAGCAGTGAAATACAAAGGAATATGATTTAGGGCCCAATCTCTGACATAAATATATAACAAGAATTGCTAATTTCCTTCCACCTAAATAGCATTATTGGCACAGTACTGGGTGGGATCTTATTAAAATAGACAATACAGTATCAGTTTGTCTAGCATGGAAAGTCTAAATATGCAGAACAGGGCATAATTTGAGGAGGGAAAAGAATGTATACTCAGAGCTGCTGGACTTTTAATCTTGAATTTAGTTCGAACAGGTTAAATTTTGATTATGCTAAAATCATACTTTCTAAGGATGACTTTAAAAATGAATCAGAAAATTTTTTCACACAGAAAGTTTACATGAAAGCAAATCATGCATCAATCTTTTCAGTGGATGCCCAGACTAGTCTTGTTGAAAATTATTTCACACTCAAACATACACACATATATAACCACATATTTTCTGCAATATTTCAGTTTGTGGTTTGCTTTTCACATGTAAATCCAAATATTCTTAGAATAGCACTATATCACATTTTCCCACATAATTTCATTGGGATTTTCCCACATAATTTCATTGGGAAATATTGTGTTGTTGTAAGGATGTGACATGGCCACTCTTCACCCCAAACATGGATTAATTCTCAGTTCTATCTTGAAAGCTTATTTTACTTTCTTTTACTTTTAAGTTGAAGTGGACATTTTGGTTCAACATTAATTCTCTGCATCAATCTTCTATTCATTATTATGACTTGAAAATTGATATAACTCTCAAATTTATAACTGAAGATTAAATCAAGTTTCATTCAACCTTCTCTGCTCTCATGCCCTGTAGGCAGGTTGGGATTGCTACTCCCAGATTTAATTAATTTGTTCAATTAATATGCTGTCATGCCTTCAAAAGCTGTAAAAACTGGTCATCTTGCCTGAAATATATGTATACATAAATTAACTTGGCTGCTGGACTCAGTACATCAGCATCAGACCATTCCGTCCCAAATGTTTGAAGGTAGCATGGACCATTTGATACTACACTTCTCCTTCTTGACTCCCAGGCAAGTTTTGCCATAATCCAAGAAGAGCTTGAGCTCCAAGCTACTTTGGCTTATAAATGTTTCTTACTGGAGTCAGTTTCAGACAAAGCAGAAGAATTTCTTCCATCGGCATTTAGAGAGAGTTTTGATTCCTTTAGCTGTCATTTTCTTTTCCTGTTGGGCTTTGTATTCAACTGCACTAACAATGGCTGTGTCAAAAACCTCCTTCAGGTTCTTTTGAGTCAAAGCAGAGCACTCAACGTAAGTCTGAGCCCGGATTTTTTCAGCCAGGCCTTCTGCTTGTGTTCTTGGCACAGGTTTTACATGGTAGCGATTCAGGCTGATTAATACTTTGACATCATCTCTCAGGTCAGCTTGTGTCCCTACTAGCACCACTGGTGTTTGGGGATTGTGAGTTCTTATTTCTGGAATCCATTTTTCTGTAATGTTTTGGAAAGAGGTGGGATTTACAACACTGAAGCAGACCAGGAAGACATCAGTGTCAGAGTAACAGAGAGAGCGAAGGCAATCAAAATCTTCCTATACAGGGAAAAGAAACACAGAGATCAATTTGTGTCAGATATTTACTGTAATCATTACACTTAGTAGGCATTACAATCTTGTCTTTTTCACAAAGCTCCAAAGCTGAACTTTTCTAACTTTCAACCAGCAAAATCATCCAAAGGTTAGAAATCATTTGAGTTTTCCCCAAGTGCTTGTAAGAGGGAAATTAAGCTAATTAATAGCTACTAAATATAATTTTTTTTCACACATCACACTAAGTTAAAGCCAAACAAAACACTTTTTGTTTCAGCATGTTAAACCCGACCATTACAGTTTATGGCCAGAGTTCCTGACTGGGCTAGGACATCAATGCTCTTGTGGATGTTTCTTTCTCCAGATTTTATGTTTTGAGACATTGATAATTGAAATAAATGAATACACAGGAAGCCAACAATCTTCATCCTTGCATATATTTAAGTTTTTTTTATTCCCAAAAATGTTTCTAAACTACAGAGGCATTCTTAGAAGATAAAAGTGCTCTTTTTGGAATGTGCCCATCAAAAAGCAAGATAAAATTATGATGTTAGGAAACATCCTCAACGAATATGGCAGGTGAAGAGTGGAGGATAACTTCATTATTTTGCCTCCTATAAAGTGGATGTTTGTAATCAGAAATATCCCCTGTGGCAGCCATTCTCTGAGCATATTCAGAACACTCTCAAAATCCCAGATGTGCCCATTGCTCCCAAAATATTAAAGTTTCTCAGTATTAGGTGTAAATGCAGCACTATAGCTTAGTTAATACATGATGGTTTTAAAAATAGGTTAATTCACTAATTAGACCACTGAAGAAGTGAGAGGGACTTTTAATGCCCATTAAAATAACTTCTCAATCATGTAAATAATCAAATCCAAAACTCTACTCCCAAATAATATTTCAGAGTTCATGCTTTCCTTAAAAAAGACATGGGCTTCCAGACATAATATTTCATAAAAGGAATTTTTGCTGCAAAAAAATAATAATCAATACATTTCAGTTAGCAAGCCATAAGTCACACAAACAAGAAAACTATATCAGTTTGTTGGTTAGATTTATAACCTAGTTTTCTTCCAGCAATGCAAGACAGCATTCATAACATGTTTAGCATATTACGCAACTTCAGGAATTCCCAGTTCAAAGGTTATTTCAAACAAGAACTCACCAGAAGGAAACACGGTGTGTCTCCTCTCCAATACTGAAATATTATTTTAATGTAAAATATGCCAGAACTATGCTATAGATTACTACTGACTGTCAGAGTCATTTGTTTTTTACTGAATTATTTTCATTATTTTTTCTGATATCATCCTTAGCATGGCATTTTAACCAGAGCTGCAAATATACTTTACTTTTATAGTCCTCACCTGTCCTGCAGTGTCCCACAAATGGATACGAACAGGTGCACCATCAACCAAGACTTGAACTGTAAAGAGAAAGAGAAAATGACTAAGCAATTGATGTATGCCATTCAGTTTCACTAGCATCAGTCTTGTTCTATTCCACAGAGAGGGCTTTGAAGATAGGAACCTGCACAAATATTACCCCAAATGTTGGAATGGGAATATTTGAAAATACTGAGCAAATGCTGTAGATTTATTACTAAAACATGCCCAACTCTATACGCTAACCTGCATTGAACTATTGCCTCTGTTTGGCCACCTACACCTTAACATATGATTGCAAGAAAAGTATATATTCCATCTCAAAGCAAACATGAGCCAGTTTTTCCAGGTCCTGCAGTATCTATGTTCCACACTCCCATCTATGTTGATGTGCTGAACCAATAACCGAGAGTGGTTGCCATTGTGCCTAAGTAGGCTCTAGAGGTATTATGAAACTCTAGATCACCTTTTTATAATCTGATGTTTTAAGGTGATAGTTTCTGTCAACTTCAGCCAGCATGGCCCCTGAGAAGGCACCAGAAAGTCATGCAATTTCAAATTTGGCTGCTCTTCTGCATATGGGGCAGTTTTGTTGACACCTAGTCAGATAGAAAGGTGGCCTTCAAACAATAGAGCCTATTAAGCTTGCCAAATATTTAAACATAGAAGACCAGGATTAATGCAGCTGCTTCCTAGCTATTATTGTTATTGTTATTGTTATTATTGATATAGTGGAGGTTGGTTAGGAGGGCTTTAAGTTTCAAAATACAGAACCAGATGTGAGCTGCAGTCATCCCAATTGGTAAATGGTTCTTTAGTATCTGTATGCTATGTTTAGCCAACACAAATAAATGCATACACAGTTAAACATGATGTCCTTGAGTCTCTACTATATACAGTATAGGAATGCAGCTTTTCAAACAATTGAAAAGCAAGAAGTCTACATGTTCAGCTACCCTTTCACCTTTTTTGCCACCTCAGAGATGTTCTGGGAGCTGATGTCTATGCTGCATATCCAGAGTTGTTTATTGTTAACAGTGAAACCTTAGTATTTGCAACAAACATCATTGCATAAGTGCAATGAACTCATGACAAAGTTTTTTAAAACTGCTCCACCCAGCAGGCACAGAAGTTGTTCTTTTACCTTTGCCACGGAGTTTATCTGTGCTGGGTGGTGGTGGGATTGGGCGTTGAGGTAGCGGTAGAAAACACACACCAACCGCTACCTCAACACCCAATCCCACCACCACCCAGCACAGATAAACTCCATGGCCAAAACACTAATCGCCAGAACCAAACGCCTGGCAGACAAGACACACATAAAGACTGAACTATGCACCCTGACTAAAGTACTGACAGCCAATGGCTTCCACAAAAGCAAAATCACCGGCTTGATGCACAAAAAAAACACACTGAGACGTAATGGAGACCTAGAAGATGAACAGACCTATGGAGCAGCTGTCCTGCCCTACATAAGAGGTACTACAGACAAAATCAGTAAGATACTACACAGGCATCACATCAAGACTGCCTTCAAAACAGACAGAAAAATAGCAGCCATCCTTAGAAACCCCAAAGATAAAATTGACCTGGAAAACCAAGGCTTATATGAAGTCCCCTGTGCATCATGCCTGGCCACATACATTGGACAGTCCAATAGAAGAATAAGTACCCACCTGGATGAACACAAAAATGCAGTAAAAAAGCTGGAACACACTTCCTTATTAGTCCAACACATGAAAGCCACAGGTCATAGCATCAACTTCAACAGCACCAAAACCCTAGCCACTATAGAAAACCCCAGCTACAGAATTATCAGAGAAGCCATAGAGATTGAAAAAAGACCTGAAAGCATGAATAGAAGAGATGATTCCACCAGACTGTCAATTATTTGGAAGCCTGCACTCACAAACAAAAAAATCTCCACACCACAAACCAGGCAAACACCTGGGCACAAACAGATCCCCACTGATACCTCCAGCTCAAACACACCCCAACCAGGCACTCAGATGAAACCTAGCTTCCTAACAAATGATAGCTGTCCATTTACTCGGAGCCAAGCTGCACTAAAAGCCTCCAATACAGGAATACAATGTTGCCAGCCAACCAAGACAAAACAAGCCACAAAACAGACAGAAGATATTAGAAACACCAATCAAGCAGAACACAGCAAACTCCAAGACCAATAAACACAGGCCAAGACTCCCAACCAATCAGGATGAAGAAAAAACCATTCTGGCACAGCAGTAGGCTAGCCCCAAATTTAAAACTGAAACAACTGTAAAAGTCTGATTCACAGACGAACACAATACAGAAGCCTGATAATGGCAGATGAGATTCTGCCAAAACGTTTTCGTGGGTACTTACATGTATGTTATTCAGCTTTGTTCGGGTATTTTCCCACATCATTGTAGTTGTGCTTTTAAAGTTGTAGCAACGTTTTGGCAGAATCTCATCTGCCATCATCAGGCTTCTGTATTGTGTATATTTATATATATATTGTGTATGTATATATATTAATATATATATTAATTATACACTTTTCAAAAAAATAAAGGGAACACAAAAATAAGACATCCTAGATCTGAATGAATGAAATATTCTTATTAAATACTTTGTTCATTACATAGTTGAATGTGCTGACAACAAAATCACACAAAAATTATCAACAGAAATCAAATTTAGCAACCCATGGAGGTCTGGATTTGGAGTTACACTCAAAATTAAAGTGGAAAAAAACACTGCAGGCTGATCCAACTTCGATATAATGTCCTTAAAACAAGTCAAAATGAGGCTCAGTAGTGTGTGTGGCCTCCACGTGCCTGTATGACCTCCCTACAACACCTGGAAATGCTCCTGATGAGGTGGTGGATAGTCTCCTGAGGGATCTCCTCCCACACCTGGACTAAAGCATCCCCAAACTTCTGGACAGCCTGTGGTGCAATGTGGCGTTGGTGGATGGAGTGAGACATGATGTCCCAGATGTGCTCAATTGGATTCAGGTCTGGGGAACGGGTGGGCCAGTCCATAGCATCAATGCCTTTGTCTTGCAGGAACTGCTGACACACTCCAGCCACATGAGGTCTAGCATTGTCGTGCATTAGGAGGAACCCAGGGCCAACTGTACCAGCATATGGTCTCACAAGGGGTTTGAGGATCTCATCTCAGTATCTAATGGCAGTCAGGCTACCTCTGACGAGCACATGGAGGGCTGTGCGGCCCCCTAAAGAAATGCCACCCCACACCATTACTGACCCACTGCCAAACCGGTCATGCTGGAGGATGTTGAAGGCAGTAGAACGTTCTCCATGGCATCTCCAGACCCTGTCACGTCTGTCACATGTGCTCAGTGTGCACCTGGTTTCATCTGTGAAGACCACAGGGTGCCAGTGGAGAATTTGCCAATCTTGGTGTTCTCTGGCAAATGCCAAACGTCCTGTACAGTGTTGGGCTGTAAGCACAACCCCCACCTCTGGACGTCGGGCCCTCATACCACCCTCATGGAGTCTGTTTCTGACCGTTTAAGCAGCCACATGCACATTTGTGGCCCGCTGGAGGTCATTTTGCAGGGCTCTGGCAGTGCTCCTCCTGTCCCTCCTTGCACAAAGGCGGAGGTAGCGGTCCTGATGCTGGGTTGTTGCCCTCCTATGGCCTCCTCCATGTCTCCTGATGTACTGGCCTGTCTCCTGGTAGCACCTCCATGCTCTGGACACTACGCTGACAGACACAGCAAACCTTCTTGCCACAGCTTGCATTGATGTGCCATCCTGGATGAGCTGCACTACCTGAGCCACTTGTGTGGGTTGTAGACTCCGTCTCATGCTACCACTAGAGTGAAAGCACCGCCAGCATTCAAAAGTGACAAAACCATCAGCCAGAAAGCATAGGAACTGAGAAGTGGTCTGTGGTCACCACCTGCAGAGCCACTCCTTTATTGGGGATGTCTTGCTAACTGCCTATGCTTTCCACCTGTTGTCTATTCCATTTGCAGAACAGCATGTGAAATTGATTGTCAGTCAGTGTTGCTACCTAAGTGGACAGTTTGATTTCACAGAAGTATGATTGACTTGGAGTTACACTGTGTTGTTTAAGTGTTCCCTTTATTTTTTTGAGCAGTGTATGTATATATAAGCAATTGGGTCTGAACTGATAAAATCTGCAGGGCAAGTTCTTTCTTTCTTTCTTTCTTTCTTTCTTTCTTTCTTTCTTTCTTTCTTTCTTTCTTTCTTTCTTTCTTTCTTTCTTTTCTTTTCTTTTCTTTTCTTTCTTTTGTGAATGGTTTACACAATATCTAATGGACACTGACTGAGGAAATAATCAGGGAGAACCCACCACCTTTTATCAACACATTTCTCCTCCTGCTGAATCCAACCCTGTTGTATGGGATAGCTAAGATTAAATACTCTGTCCTCTCCTTTGTAGTGTTTTCTGCTGCTTGAGGAGAATGAAATTTTGTCTTCTCACTTCTAAACTAAATATGTCAGGTCCTCTGATCTCTGCAGCTCCAAAGGATTTCACAAGAAGCTATTCAAATATTCAAAGAAAAAATATTGACAGACATGGGGACACAGAATGAAAATTAAAAATAAACCTTCAAATACTCCCACACAGCTCCCTGACCCCAACAACTTCTTTGAATAAGACTATGTTTGTAGACAAGATCTGAGAACATTCACTCTCCTGTAACCATTTGTGAAAACTGTGGAGAGCTAACTGAAATGCAGGAAGCAGAGGAGATAGGTGATAAAAATAAATCAAGGCAAAATGCACAATTAGCAGGAGTGTGTAATGGAGGAAAGGGAGACATCCTGTCTTAAAGGAGGCAACAGAAGGCACTTAACACCAACTAGAGATATTGCCAGGGTGTCCTTGAATACAGAGGAGTTCTTTATTTTGGAGAAAAAGAACTCTGCTAATCTTTTTTCTCAGGCATCTTGTCATTATGGAAATGAAGGATGTAGCTTTTGCAGCCCTGTTCTGGATGAAATAACTCTTGTTGCCTCAGGGTCTTTCGGTACAATCAGGCAAAGCTGCTGTCTGAGTCACCTCAAAATCCTTAGTACACCCTGGCAGCTGTATTTTTGCCACCTTGGAATACAGTCACTAGTCTCCACAGCACATGGAGGACTTTTCTGGAGTTGTTTCCCTGCGTTGACTGGTCTTATAGAACTGATAGAATAATGGAGTTGGAAGAGACCTTGGTGGTCTTCTAGTCCAATCCTAAGCAGGAGATCCTATACAATTTCAGACAAATGCTGCCCAATCCCTTCTTAAAAACCTCCAGTGATGGAACAACTTTTGGGGGGGAGCGGGGTGAACAGATGTGCTAAGGGTAGCACTTAGGTATTCATGGCACAGCCATTCAGATT